GATGGATGGATGGATGGATGGATGGATGGATGGATGGATGGATGGATGGATGGATGGATGGATGAAAATTCTATGCTTCCAACACAAATACATTTGTTTTGCATATATTTATCCATTTTAATGTTAATAAAATCAATATATAGCCAAAAACATTGCAATATTAAATTCAACATATAGTATAATTTCTTTCTTATACCTTCTGGTGAATATTTCCTTTTAATATAGACTATTTCTTTTATTACATTCTGTCTCACTGCTGTGGTTTTATTCCTGAAGGTGTTTTTGGGACGGTGGAGATGAGACCCCCCACTGTTGGGACATGGCTGGTGGAGTGCACTATAGGAGACTACCAGCTGGCTGGGATGAGGGCCAAACTCTTGGTCTATGATCCACGTAGGTCTACATCCGTCACCCTGACTCCGATGGTCAGACCCAGAAGATTGATGCTTTTGAAATGGTCTATGATCGGTTCTTGGTGGAAATGGATTCAGTAACAACTGGGGAAATGCTTGTTAATATGAAAAAGACTTAACGATACTCAAATACAACCAAAGGGATTCTTAAGCTGATGTCATTTTTGTTTCAGAATTCCCTTTTTTTGGACATTATCTGAGATTTAATTTGTTACAAAAGGTTCAAACCCTTGAAACACATTTCTAAACTTGAATTTTAAGCACTGCACAATGTCATTTGATTTAGATGTATCTATATTTTAAAAACACTGACATCATTTACTGTTGATGCTCTGATACACAGGATGTGTCTTACCTCAGGGAATGAAATCAGGGCGGATCGAAGACTCCCAGATTACTGCATCAGATCACAGCGGTAAAACACACTAGCTTTGTTTTCATTTGTGTCCAGTGGGGCAAGTGATTTTTATGAGACTGTATCCTAAGAATGATTACCCTGATACTCAGTAAATCTAAGGAAATACCTCAGCTTTATGAAACACAAACATCGGGAAATGACAGGCGGAGAGATGGATTAAGGTTGTGTTTATATTTCTGTGTCCAGGTAACTGGGAGCCAAGGCTGGCCAGGCTCGATATGACTGGTTACTACAACGCCTGGATGGGAAAAGGCACCAGATCATGGCTTCAGGTGAGACTATATCTGAAGCACTAAGCCATTTTAGTCTCAAACGATCTCATTCTATCAGAGCATTATTGTTGGTTATTGATGGAAAACGTTGCATCTAAAGTCATGTATGTTTTCAGGTTGATCTGCTGAGGCCCACCCTGCTGCATGGTATACAGACTCAGGGGGTGAGATCAAAGCTCAGGGACCACTACACGGCCATCTTTAGTGTCTCCTACAGCATCGACCAAGAGACCTGGACCACTTACAGAGGAAACAGCTCAGATTCCAAAAAGGTGTGTCCACAGATGGAGCAGCAGCGGCATAGCAACGCTGTGCTAATCCTCCCGATCCCTTTAGTCTGAGCTGTCCTGTGTATCACTGTGTTGCAGATATTTCGTGGCAACCTGGACAGCACTAAGGTGAAGGACAACAGCTTCTCTCCACCGTTTGTGGCTCGCTACGTCAGGATTCATCCACACGGCTATAAGCAGAAACCGGCTCTAAGGCTGGAGCTGCTTGGATGTGATCTTAACAGTGAGTTGGAAGTAATCCAAGTTTTTTTTGGGGGGGGTTTCTGTTGAAAATGACTCAGAGTGTATGTTTTGTATCCTTGTGTGTGACTAGGTTGCTCTTTGCCTCTGGGTCTTGAGAAGGGGTTGATTCCAGACAGCAGCTTAAATGCCTCTTCGTTCTATTGGTCTTTCATGAGAAGTTGGAGACCCAGCCTGGCTCGCCTCCACCAGAGCGGCGGAGCCAACGCCTGGAGACCGAAGGTGTGCTCACATTGTGTCATACATTGTTTCCTCCCAGATTATCGCTTGGATTTAGCCTGGAGTTTGATTAGATCATTTTAAAACATAGATATGCTTTGATCTAAACCAACTATTCTTCACCAGAGTCACTTTCCTGCACCTTTTAGATGCAATTCTGAGACATGGATTCATCTAAACAGGCAGTGGCTATCATGATTGGGAGTTTTTTAGAGAAATACAACATTTGTTCCCATATATACCAAAAAGAGATGAAAATTCATATAAAAAAAATAGCATTTACGGAAGAATATCGCAGTTTGATGAGCTATAGATAAACTTAGAGGGAACTTTTTATCACAACAAAATAACATTTTACAAGACAGGTTTGTTTCAAGAAAAGGTAAAGAAATATAGGCCAATTAAACCAACTCTTTTTGACTTGTCTTCTCCTTTGGGCATTTTTTCATACAATGAGTACTCCTCTCAGTCAAAAGTACTGATGATCGTCCAAAAGTGGAACATACAATTACTGAGATAAGACTGCTCTACTTAATCTTTTAATTTGAGCATTTCATTTTTATAATTTTACTCTTTCCATCTCAAAAAAAAAAACTACATGAATATGTTGCCTGGAATAAATACAAAATAAAATCATATTATGAACCTGTATTTATAAAACTGGAGCTCCTCTGAGTAACTCCCTTATAATCACATTTAAACGATTGGGAGCAATTTACAGAACAACAATTCTAGTCAGCCTGACTTAATTAGTTTTACATTGTATGCATAAATGCTCACCTGAGCTGCTTTGTTGAGCTCCGATAGCTCAGTGTGAAAAACAGCTGATACCAGTCTGTTTTCTACATCCAGTCTGTTCCTCTGGTTGGTTTGCTGTATGACAAACCTGAAGGTTCAAACATAAGAAAAGCCTACATTTTGGTTGATAAAAGCTTGTTTAATTTTTCAATTGGATGCTCACAAAGCAAAACAGATCCCAGCCCTATTTTACTTTACTACCTAAGAAATACAATATTTAGACCTAGACAAACGTTGTCTAGGTCTAAATATTGTAAGCTGCACTGAATTCCATTGCATTTCTTTAAGTGCAGCAGTGATAAAATGTAAACATGGTGATCAAATGTAAACGTAAAACGGAGATATAATTTACAGTGTTTCCAACATTCAGTGCTTTTCCCCCACTTTTTATTCAAAATTTAGCTTTTTATTTGTTTTTCATATTTTCTTATTTACGAGTATGCAGATATTATTAAAAGTCACTAAATATATCTGTCCCTAAATAATCTTTTCTAATTTGCCCATTGGCAGTGCGTTTTGGTCTCAGTAGCAAGAGAAAAGTGACACTCAAAGTACGGACTATTAACCTTTCTCCCTTTGCACTCTCATTATCACGATTGGCTCAGGTTTCTCCTTCCTCCCCTCTTCAGCTTATCATTTTAACACTTTCCAGAGCCGAACGGCAGCCGTGTGACCTATCCTCGTGGCAGATTGTTGAGCTGCTGTACATGTTTTCCTGTGGCACCGGAGAACAACAGAGGTCAAGCTGTCTGTGCCAGCTTTGGGCTGTTCTCAGATAACTGCCAGTGCCTGGACAAATCACACAATGTTGCATAAAACCAAAAGAATTTCAAGAATTCAGGTTTAGGGAACTGAATTTGTAACAGTTGCCCACAAGCTGTTTCCACATCCAGTGCTGTGAAATGAATGGAACATTGGTGAAAGCATGTTATTTTTTTCTTAGTTTCGGTTTGTTATTCTCATCTTCTAAGCTTAAGGTACCATTGATATGTTGGTTTCCTTTCTTGACTCATATCTGGATTTTATAATCCTTATAATTAATCAAATACAGATATTTTTTAAGTGATTATTTACTATATTAAAATATATGTAAATCCTGACCAATTTGGAACTAAATAAAAAATTTAGAGAGTGCTTTTCCAACATGAAACATAATAATTAATTATTGAACTTTATTGATCTCACATTGGAGAAATGTACCTCTGCATTTAACCCATCCTCTTGGGGAGCAGTGGGCTGCCATTGTGTGGCAATCCCTATGCCCTAATCACTAGGCCACCACTCCCCGCAATGATAATGCTACTGCATCACAATCAGATTAGAGGCCAGACTTTGACTAGGCCATTTCAGTGTGGAAGTCTGACCTATACAAAGACAAATGAGACCTCCAGAGGCTTTAGATGTTAAGTGATTACGATAAGCTGGTCACTCAGGGAAAACTTAATGTGGAGAAAAAGCAGATAAAATCTGTAAAGGTATAAATCCCTTTTACAGTGAAATAGTGAGGTATTTCTTTCTAAAGTCTAAAGATGTTTCTAATATCTTGCTTTACTCAGAATAACAACCCCCATGAGTGGCTGCAGGTGGATTTGGGGAAGATCAAACGGGTCACAGGTGTCATCACTCAAGGCGCACGTTCGATGCTGACCCAGATGATGGTGACGGAGTTTTCAGTCACATTCAGTCAGGATGGACATTCCTGGAGCAGCGTGCTGGAGAAGGGCTCTCAGAGAGAAAGGGTATGCAGAAAAACTCATAAATGGTTTTTATTTGTCTTCACATTGCAGTAGAATTTCAGCAGAACTTCAGCAGTACTTTAGGAGGCAGCACAGCTTTTCCATTTATTCAGTGATTCAGAGCTCAGATGTCATTCAAAGTTTCCTCCTGGTAGATGAGTCAACCCATCAGAGCATTTTATTTGCATACCAAGAGCTAGGACGGATCTAGGAAAACATTCATCATCTGTAAATAGCTTTCAGATAAAGAAATGTTGAATACTTGTGGACGCTGTGGTCTTTAAAATGTTTTTAATAAATGATGCCTTGCAAAAGTATTAAGAGATCTCGAACCTTCTCACAATTTACAACTTTACAATCAGAAATTTTTATTTTATTGGAATCTATTATGATAGACAAAGACGTTGATGAATGAGAAGTGGAAGAATAGTTAAACATAGTTTTAATGTTTTTAAACACAGAAATAAAAAAGTGGAGTTAACATATAATTCGTCGCCCTTTGCTCTAAAACTCCTACCAACAGCAATCCCTGATTAGTACGTTGGTTGCTCAAAGAGACAGCTATGGAGAGTGATACTCTGTTGGGGGGTAAACAAGTGGGGTGGGGGGTGACATGAAAATATTCACTTCACCCTAAAAAAACAACATTGTTGCAAATAAATGTGGCGGTGGCAGAAGTATACTGTGGGATTCAGTAAAACCTTTAGTAAAATTTTATTAGAAAGTGTAAGAAAGTGACTTAGGGTTTGCTCACTGTCCACCTGGAAGACAACCCTAAACGACATAATCCATTGCTTTAGGTCCAGTCCTGCAGAGCTATCATCCTGTAACCTTTAGAAGAATCCCCCCCCCCCAGCACACCTGGATCCTATAAGTGGCTCTTCACCAAAACTCTGCTGCGCTGAATTACATGCTGAGAAATCAGCTGTTAGATTCAGTTATTTTCTGGGAAGAGATGCACCTAGAAGTTGAAGGATGATAAGACCTAGAAGTCTGCAGTTTGGGACCCCATGTCTCAGAAGGCCATAACTGGATCTAACTGAGAATCAGTGGAAGGACCTCACCATTCCTCTAGAAAGAATTAGCAAACAGTGTCTAAACCCACAAACCATAAAAGCCAGGTGGTACAAAGTATTGACTCAAGAGGACTGAATACAAAAGAATGGGAAACAATGTGAGAACCTTACTGATAGAAATGCATTTCTAAGGAACTGTATGTGCTGACATGATAAATGCCATCTTTCTGTGCTGCTTCCTGGCTTATTGCTATTCCCCTTCCGCTGCAGATCTTCACAGGCAACGAAGATCCAGACGAGGAAGCTTTAACGGTTTTCGAGCCTCCTTTGTTCGCCCACTACCTTCGTATCCACCCACGGGGCTGGGTCAATGACATCGCGCTCCGCCTGGAGGTGTTGGGCTGCGACACACAGCAGGGGGTCGGACGCCAGAGGACCAACACGCCATAGCCGGGCAGATTTAACCCCACCCGTTATTATTTCTGTGGAGAATGAGCTATGTAGTGCACTTAAGTTATGTCTGTAGCTGTTTTTTTTTTTTCCTGTAGCCAGAACTTTGTTTACATTTTCACTTGTTTTATTGTTGCTGCTGTGATGTATGATGAAGGGCATAGTTATATTAAGACTATATAGAAGTAAATCTTTTAGGAAAGCTTAAACATTTCTATGCTGATAACCTTTTGAATGTAAGCAGGTGTAAATATTTCAGACTTCATTGCTGTAGACTGTTTAAGTAGATGTGTATCATTTAAAAAAGCTGTATTTTTCTGTTTTATTTGAGGTATTAAACTATGAACTTCACAGAGTTTTCTATTTTTTCCTTTTCTTTTTCCTCACGAGTAAAATTTCACCCTTTCATTAGGTGTCTTAAGGCCAGAAACCCTCTTTTTCAGTCCTAAATTGCATTCCTGGAAGAAATCCTGCAATAGTTAAGCTCTACCATTGTTCTGCTACAGGTTAAACGATGCAGTTATGTTGCTCACAGGAAGTAAAAGTATTTTTACAGACAAAATGATTTGGTGAGAAGAGTAGAAGGGAAGCGTTTGGATCAACATGAAGTGTTTGAGTGTTTGGACCATAAGTCCTGACCAAAATTTATCACCTCCTTATCAGTCAGGAAGTTTCCAGTCAGGCGAAGGGGGGTGTTTAGTTTGGAGGTTGAGAGCAGAAAGGAGCGTTTATCTGACTGGACACACTACCTGCCCTCAAAAACAAAAGCAGCATCTGTATTCATCGGCAGACACATCATGGTTGGGACACAAGAATCAGATGAATCAGAGGAAAACGGAGGCCGTGTCGCTGAGATGTGATTAGATATCTGCTTCTGTGCTGGCGTTCAGTGTGCGAAAGCAGGAGCAACAACAAGAGCAGTTACACATTTAAACACTAAAATATATTGATAACCTTTGACCCTTCTCTCATTTAACACATCTGAAAAAAGTGTTGGATGTATTTGTACAAATGAGCTCAGACTAAATAAGTGGTGCCAGTGCAATGTTACTAAAATTAAAATGTTATTTTAGTGTATAGATTTTTGTGTATATGTATATTTTTAGTATATATATATATTTTTCAGTTTTATTTTCAAATTTAAATGACAATTTTAGATTCACCACACTGATTCATTACAGTTTCAGGTCAGAGTATAATTTGGACATTTTTCTTTTAGGAACGGTACTAGAGAAGCAAAAACAATTGGCTTTAAGATATTAAAATTCAAAATACAATAAAAAGTTTTTCTCTTTTTCAGTTTCAAAAATAGTTGTTTGAATTTTATCATTTTCTATTTTTGGCAAAAACAAAAAATAAAATCACTATAAAAGAGAAACCAAAAAGACTAACTTTTTAATTTAGAGATTAGATTTGGTCATTTTACCAGGGCTGTATATTTAAAAGCATGGACATGTTTATTTTACCCCATGATAAAATGTTGAACCTTTATTCATTTTAGATATTGGGAAAAACAAGGCCTGTCATCCACACAGGATATTACATTTTATAGGGGAAACAAAACAATGTTCTGCAAGAGACGTGGAGAATAAGCAATGAAAAAAGACTAAGTTTGAACAGACTCCCTGATTAAAAATGTCAACATTCTCATAGTTTGCCATTTCTCTAGGACTACCCATTTTGTAAGTTTAAAAATGAAAAAGCTGTTAACTACAGTTTCCTTCTGAATATGTTTTAATGGCTAATGTTATGATTCATGCTTCTACCACACTAAGTGTTTATTCTCTATTCCTCTCACACCCTTAACACGAAATTCTTGTGTAATATTTATCCTGTTTTTAAGAAAACATTACAGCTGTAGAAACTGCTTGATTGACAGAAACTGTTAAGCTAAGTTTATTTTCATTTTTATGTTTTTGGTTTTTTTATTTTTATTTGGGTGGTTCATCAGGATGTCATCTAGTGGAAAAGAAATAGATGTATGACAAGTCATGGCTGAGTACTAAAATCTGGTATCTGGTCTAAGAGATATAGACTAGCTATCATTTGTTGCACCAATAATAATGTATGCTGAATGGACAGAACATTGGCCCTCTGTCATATTTGAAACTTTTTTTTTTTCAAACAAAAGTTGGATAACTGCTTGTTTTTTGTAATTGTTTCTAAAAGAAAAAAAAAACAACAAAAGACCATGAAACACTGACATCTTAAATTGCTGTGAGGTCTACTTTTAATACTGATGTCTTATTTAAATTTTAATGAAAACCCTGAAATAAAAAAATTGTTATGATTTTTGTCCTGCTCTGTTTGTGTTCACTCTACCTCTCCTGATCAGTACTGATTGTTCCCACCTGGGCAGCTCTCTACTTAAGCTCCTGCTCTTCCCCTGCTCTGTGCGAGAACGTCTGCCTTTCACAGCTTTCAAGCCCTGCTTCATGAGCCAAGTATTTCCCTACCTGTCTTTGACCACTGCCAAAGTCCTGACCTTACCATTGAGTGGGTTGTAACCTTTCTGCTTTATGCTGCACCCTGCAAAACTCTGACACTGATTTAGCCCCCTGGATTTTTGAAAATCCTCTGCCTGAGTGATCTTTTGTGCTTGACCCTGGACTGGAAAAGGATTTCAAACTGGATTGTGGATGTCTGTACCTCTGCTCTCTTTAACCCCCACTCCCCAAGCCCTCAAGGTTCCCTACCTCTAATTGGACCCCGCCCTGCTGGAGCTGAACCTGGTCATTCTTGGTTTTTGTTTTATATATTTGAATCTTCTCCAACAGACTCTCATTTCCTTTTTTGTGTTCCAGAACCACTAGACACTCCCAGAACTGACAGAACCATTGTTTGTTATTTTCTAAAATCTTTTTACTCAATCCTGTCTTTGGCTGTGTTTTAGGTTCTGGACTCTTCTGAAACCCTGACAAAAAACACTGTTTTTAGCATCTGTGAAGTGATACTTCAAAGGTTTGGGACAGATTATCAAGACATGGAGTTTGTCAAATACTGTGTAGTATAAAAACAAACTTTTTATAGTGGGATGGCATGTCTGCTTATATGTGGATGGGCAGTAGCTGGATGGGGTTTTCCTAAATTTTTTTCCTTAATATCAACACTTAAAATCAATAAAAATGTTCCTTAATCTATTCCCACTTGTCCTTGCAAGTTGTGGATTGATAGAGAAGAAGAGAACTGGGAAGGACAGATTACATCCAGGATAGTTCAGCAGTCCATCACATACAGTAGTCAAACCAGACAAGCAACCATGTACACATATATTCTTCTTGGCTCTACCTTTATCATGAGGTAGATACTTAGATTCTTTCTATATATAGGCTGCCATAAGTTTAGGCTGCTGGAGGACGTAGGGACCACTTTTTATCATTCTGCTTCATTCTGTCTCTGTTCTCCCATTCTGCAATGTTTGTTAGTACAACCCAAAACTCTATGTTCTCTCTGCTTTTTCTCATCATAGTAGCTTCATCTGTGCTGTTCCTATTTACTGCGATTCCACCCTGGATTGAAATATCAGCTGGGCTGCTGCCATCAACACCTTTGTTTATATATGTTCGAATTTCGCCTGTTTCCAGTGTAGTCCTGTTTCTTTTATTGTGACTAGAAGAAATTGGCTTACAGTAGAGCTCATCTGCCTGGCTGTGTCTTAACTGGACGGGCCCGCCTATGGAGCTGGTTAACGATTTAATATTGTATCTCTGCTGGCTTTTGTATGTCTGCCTCTATCGCCTTGAACCCAAGTCAGACTCAGCGGAAGGCTGCTCATACTGAGCCTGGTCCTGCTGAAGGTTTCTTTCTGGTTAAAGTGAATTCTTCCTTTTTTACTCAGAAATGCATCATCGGTGTGAGGAATTGCTGAAGAGTCAATGACAGACTGCATGCTAATATTGTCATTCCAAGCTCATCAAGGAGGGCAATGACTGGATGCAATAGGCTGGTTTTCCTTGACAGAAATGTTTAATCAATCTGACTGTATTTTCTCTGCGGTGTGCAATGAGATGAAAAACTGAACTGAGAATGAAATATATTAAAAAAATTAATATAAGGGCACTTTCCAATTGAAATTAGCGGGTTAACGTGGGGTTTTTAAACACAGGTCATCCCGCTAACAATCAGCATGTGGATCCTTTCCCATTGACATAAAAACTCTGCCTGATCCCCCGCTGGCAAGCTGCATTAAATGAAACTATAGAGAGCAGCATGCAAGGAAGCCACTGCGTAGTAGGTGTGCTTTATATTTTTGTCACTACAAGTCTCTCTCACCAGTGTTGCGCCATGTTTATCTAAAGTAAATAGGGATGTTTCGGCTTGTTAGATGAGACACGGCTAGCGCAATATTTTAATGTCCAAATGTTGCATTCAATGGTATCATTAAAATTAACAGAATGACCCGGGTCGGATGCTCTCACTGTACGCCGATTGGAGCGGAGCCATTTGAAATCAATTTGCATGATACAATTGAACACAACATATGGACATTAAGACACGGGCCAGTTGCATCTAATTTAATGAGCCGAAAAAATTCTGCTTACATTTGATAATCATGGTGCAGCTACGATGAGAGCGATACAAAGGAACAAAACAATAAAGAACATTTCCTACACTGTGGCTACCTTCCATGTTGCCCGCCATTATTTACTTTTCTGGATTTCTGATGCACTGGTGAAAGTCATCAACATTAACCCAGCATGATGGCGTCACGCTTTATGAGGGAAGAATGCATGCATGGCTGATAAAGAAGAATGTATATGTGTAAGAGAAGAATGTGTAAGTGTGAGAGGAGAATGTTTGTCATTTTTGTCATTGAAATTATTGGTGTGATCTGTCTCTAAACCACTATGCTTACACTCTCTGATTGGGCAGCAAGCCCCGCAACCTGCACTGTCTCAGTAGGGATGGCTCTCGCCGTCTCCTCCTCAAACACACGATCCCCCCGACCCCGAAGCTGAGACGCCTCAAATGGCCCGCTCAACTCTGTCTTTCATCCTGGACCTCTGCCATCTCTCTGGTCTTTTGGCACTTAACTCAAGTATTTCTGTAAAAGACAAGGTGTTTTCCCCCTTACTGTAGCTAGCGGATGCTGTACTTTAAAATCACATTGATAGATGCATTGCTTCTTACCTGCCTCTGAATGGGCATCATTCTTCTGCCATTCTGCTCCTTGGCCTGTTCCAGATTCATCCTGAGTTTATTTTTAATATTTACTACTAAAGTCCCTCAAGCCTTTGGTTTCATCTTTCCTTTTTCTCTTATCTGACACCAAACTTCTGATAACCTGACATTTGTAAGGGCTGGTTATACTCCCCACAGCAGTGT